AAAATACAGAGTATAAAAAATAAAAAATAATAAATTTATACTATTTTATTTAATACATTTGATTAATAAAAAAAAAAAAACTAATAAATAAAAACTAGAACTATAAATATTAATAATTATAAAATGGAGGATTAAAAATCTAAAGAATAAGAAATAAACCAAGAAACAGCAAATGATTTAGCAGAATTAGTAAAAGACAAGAAAAACGATGTAAAAAAAGGAGCTCTATCTCTAATTTTACAATGTTCAGCTATTTAATAAAATAGATAACTTTTTGTACAAACAGATTTAATAAAATCTCTACTTAAAACCATGACAGAAACCGTAAAATACAACAACAATAAAAATATGTATAAAAAAAAAGGGTTTTAACACTTATATCTTTAAGCAATTTAATAAACTTTACATAAGATGAAATATATTAAAAACAATTAATAGATTCCAAAAGTACAAACAGAATTGTTTAATTAATAAAAGAAACAATACAAGAGGTTATAGAACTAAATCCCGATAAAAATTAAGAGCAAGGAATACATTTTTAATATGAAAGAAAGCATAAATTAACTTGTGAACTCAGTCTTTTATTACTTTCCAATATTACACAGCATGAAGATGGTAAAATAGACTTTTTAAATGCAGGAAGTGAAAATATGGAAGGATATAATTTTAGAACTTTATATGAAATATATCTTAAGGATTGTATATAAGATCTTACTATTTTTTTTTCTAATGTACTCACAAACATTTCTAGTGATGTGGAAGGAAGAAAGTATTTAATAAGAAAAGAAAACGAATTTTGTTAAAGGTGCTTAAGGTTGATTTTCCATCCAAATAGATAAAAAAGACTTGCCATTTTAAAAGCTTTCAGAAATTGTATGTTTGAATATGAAAATAACGAATATATAGAAAATGTTTGCAATAAAGATGTATTTTTTTAATAAAAAATAAATTTGTGTAATTACAATTATTTATATATTTTTTTAGGTTTAGTTTATTGATAACATTATTAAATTTATTATTATTTTAATTTATTAAAGCAATAATTTTAATAATTAAAATAAAGATTAGTTAATTATGTGTATATAAAATTTAAATATGAATACTGATCAATTTCAATTCTAAGTTTAAAACTAAAGTAAACAATAAGATCTTGAAGAACTTAAATTAGCTTTAGATATTCTTCTAACTTTGAGTAATGTTGACTTTAGTGTCTTTAAACCTAGTTATCAAATTTAAACATTTGATTAAGTTTTTAAGACATTAAAAGATTTAGATTTGGATGAACAAACAAAAGAATAAATTCAAATTATTGATAATATTTATTGAAAATATATATAAAGTTTATAAATAAGTATTTATAATAATTAAATTTTTGATAATTTTTTTTTATATATATATATAAAATTTTTAATTCTATTTTAAAAAAAAAATTAAGTTTATATTATTTTTCAAGCCGATCTGAAAAAAAATTATTTATGATCCAAAAACATTTCAATAATATCATAAAAATAATTTTTTTTAATAAAATTAATAATTTCTATTTTTAAATAGAAATAATATAAAATAATAGAAAAAGATAAAAATCTTTTGCTCATTAATAAAGTTCTTTTTTTTAGAAAATAAATAGATATAATACCTGCATTTTGGAGAACCGAAACAAAAAAAATATTTGAAAAAGTATCATAATAAGTGCATATCCTATTTTATATCTAATAAATGCATATATATAAATATATATATATATATATATATATATATATATATATATATATAATTTTACTTATTCTGATTTTATTATAACATATATTTTATTAATTTATATTTTTCTCTTTTTTAAAATTAAAAATAAATATTTTTAATTTCTTTAAAAAAAAAAAAAAAAAATTGAATTTTAAAGCATAAATTATATAATTTAAAATATTTATTTATGTGATCAAATATATTTAATTATATAATATTTTAAATCTTAATTATATAAAAAAAAAAAACAAATTAAACAGAATTTTTATTTTATATAAAAAAGGATACATTTATATACTAAACCATCAAATTTTTAATTTAATTCAATTTTTTTTCCAAATATCAAAAATTATTTTTAAGAGTTTAGTGATTTAATGAGACATACTATCCTTAAATTGAAAAATTTATATAAAGCGGCTAAAATAATGAATTTCATTTTTAATGGAAGTACAATAAAAAATATACAAAGGGCTAAATATGGATATTCAGCTTAATAAAATTATTGAAATAGAAACAGAAGATGAAAAATTTATAATATTATTTTTTATGCAGAAGCCAAAAAGAGTTTTAACTTATGCTATAGCAGAAAATTTTGGCAAAAGCTTAATTACACTAAATCTTTTAATTATAAATTGCAATTTCCCTATTTTTAAAAAGCATTTATTTATTTACAAATTTTTTATAATCTTTCTAATATTTTACTGATATAACTAGTTTCATTTTTATAAATTAGCAGGAAATTCTAAAATCGAATTTAAAAGGATTTTAATTTTTAAAAATTAATTTTTCAACATTAATTAATATTTAATTAAATTTTATAATTTCTTTTGACATTCCGATTCAAGCCTATGCCCAATATTATTTTATTAGATTAACGCCACCTGACTAGGTAAAAAGAAATTCCTATACATCTATTGAATTAAGAAGAAGAAAAATTAATTCAGCTGAATGCCTATACATTTGTTTAATTAAGAAGAAAAAAAATTTATTCAATTGAATCCATTTTTTTTAAAAAAAAAAATTGTATTGACATTATAATTTTTATAAAAATAAGAAGAATAAACACATGCTCCTTATTTTTAATATTAGAATATGATACAATATTTAAGAAATACTAAATTTTAATTATATTTTTTATTCCAAAAAAATAGACACTATCTTCTAATTGAAAGAAAAATTTATTATTTTATAATTGAAATTATAAATGTAAAACTAATTGTATCGGCTAAGCCTAAAATTTTTTAAACCAATCTTAAATAAAAGTTCATAAAAAGAAGATCGCTTGAATATTATAAACTCCCCCAAATATAAATTAATTTTCTTAAATTATAAATATTTTTAAAAGAAAATATAAGTTCTAATTATAATTTAATTTTCTAAATAAAAAAAATTAATAAATAAACTATTTAATGTAAATTAAAAATATTGTTTTTTTAAATAAGATATAATAATTATGGAAGAAAGATGAACTAATTTATTTTATATTTTAACAAGATTTGATAATTTTTTTAAATAAATAATAAATAAGTTTAAATGCTTTTATTTTCTAAAAATATAAATTATAATGGCTTTATTTTTTTTTATAGAAAAAAAGAAACATAATTTACTTTATATTTTTATAATAATTTTTATTTCATAAATTATAGTTTTAATATTTAAACAAAATTATAGTTAGATAAACTTAAGTAAATAATTTAAAATTAGATCATAATCAGATATTTTTTTTGAAATAATCAATTAATGTTTTATTTTATTTTTAATTTTTTTATTATTCAAAATTAATATTTTCTCCATATATTTATTTATTCTCCTAAATTTTGTTTTAAATTAAATTATTTTTTAAATCTCCTTAATTATTATTTTTTTCATTATTTTCTGTGTTTCTAATATTATTTTTACTATATATTATTTAATCTATTTTTTTTATTTCATGTTTATTTTCTATTTAATTTTCTTAATTTAAAATTTTCTAATCTAATGATTTATTTTCTGTATATTATTTGATTGAATACTTAGATTTCTTTTTCTTTTTATTTTTTGAAATTTTCTTTTATACGATTGGTAAAGGAGCTATAAAATTTTAATTTTTCAATAAAATATATATTGTTGAAGAATTAGAATTCTCACTTTTTTAATTAGAACCTTATTTTGCTTCTTATTATTCATTTAATTAATTATTATATTCTTTTTTTGTTTAGCTTTCAAACTAATTACTATAATATTGTCCTTCATAATTAAAAAATAAATTTTCATATTATTTAAATCTTTATTATTGTAATTCTATAGGATCTTTGATACTACATTTTTTACATACATATTCTAACGTTTCGGCCTTATCTATAGTTCCTTTAAAACCTACACAGTCAAAATGATACCATTCTTCACATCTTTCACATGCTTATTGAAAAAAAAAAAAAAAAAATATTAATTAATTTAAAATCTGATAATAATTTTATTTACCCATCATTTTATCACCTTCATTATATTTAGTTTGACATATACAATATAATTAATCTGGTTGTTCTATATTTAAAATAAAAAAAAATATTTAAAATTATTTAAATTTTTTACCATAAATAAAATCAGGTTATACCTATTATTCTTGTAACTGTAATTCAAGTTATTATTATTACAGTAATTTTTATTTTTTTCTATATCTCGGTTTTTCTGCATTCTTTATTTTCAAAGTCATCATTTTATTTTATTTTTTTATTTTTATACTTGTGTTTACTTTTTCTTATTTAGTATATTAATTTCTTATTTTATTTAATTATTATTAGTATATTTAATAAAAGCCTTATTTTTTTTATTTATCTTTAAGAATATTTTTATATTTTTGATAAATTTATTATCTGGAATAATATTTATGGTTCATTGTATCCCAAAAAGTATCCTCCTTTCTAATTTACCTTCTCATATTAAGCATATCGACTTTATGCTATTTCATAACAGAATAATATATTTCATTTTAATCAGAGCTTTCATAATTTTCTGGAATTATTTAATTGTTTTTATGGTCTTCTTATTCTTTTACTGACTTTTTTTATTTCTTGAAGTTTTTTTATAAATGAAGAATATTTTAGTTCTCATAATTTTATATTATTAAATTTGAAATGTATTTCATAAAGGCATTTTCCTCTTCTTTATTAAAAGAAATCTACTTAATTTTTTTCTATGTAAATAGTATTTTTTTTTCTTTTTTAATTCCTTTTAATTATCCTATCTAAATTCTTTAAACTTTTCAACACTTTTACAAAATTTCAAAATTTCTTCCTAATATAAATATATTATTAAAATATAATATAGATATATATAAATAAATAAACCTTATATTTTTTTTCTTTATTTTCTATAAATCTAATTATCTACAAAGGTGTATGTAATTCACAATAAAGTAAATACTATAACCTTTCACTATTCTTAACTTCTAAACAAATATTAGCTCTTCTAGCACATTCAGAATGAAAAGCTTCTTCACAATTACCTTTGGAACATTTAATACAAGATCCAGCATCTTTATATTTTTATAATACAAAATAAATATAAAAAAACTACCTCTTAACTTACAAACTTTACATAACAATTTAAATCTTGACTTATCAATATTTTCAATTCCTTTAACAAAATTATAATAGTTTCTATCGTCAAAATAGCATTCAGGAGTCCATAAAGTGCATGAAATATGACACCAAACATAATTAGGTTTTGGTTCATTATTTAGAATGTTTAAATTAACTTCTTAATCTTTTGTTATAGTAAAGTCATAATAAAGTCCATCTTTTTCTTTATAATCCTTTTATTATTATTATTAATAAAGATAAAAATTATTTTCGTCTTTATTTATATCGTCTTCAGTTTCGATTTTTTCATATTTATATTTATTAGCTTCATTAAAGGTGCATTAAGAAGCAAATAAATGATATGATGGATTTATATTTTCAAATGTATTTAAATTTATTTAAATTTTGCTCGGTTTTAATGCTCCTCCTCTTTTAGGACACAAAGGACACCTCATTAATTACCCTTAAGGTCCAAAATTAACACATAACTCACAAATCCAATCATCGTTTGGAATTTTCAAAATACCATAACACCTTTAATGTACTGAAATATTACATTTCGAACAAAATACAATAAGATCATCATCTGCAAAATCTTTATCATTGCAAATTTAACAAGGAATATCTTCGTTTAAGACTGGATTATTTTGTTTAGTCTTCGAACTATTTTCATGTTTAATGGAAATATTTATTTTAGTATTATTTATATTATTATTGCTTTTATTAATATTTAATGTAAAATTATATTATTGCTTTTTTTGTAAATAATTTAAATATTGCTTATCAAATTAATTAAAACAATATATGTCAACTAAAGGATCATCAAAATTAAAATCTGATTTCTTATATATTTATTTTTCATTTGCTATTTCTTGTCTCATATTTTTTTTATTTTCATTTTTAAATTATTCAAATCTTATTAATTTTATTCTAGATCGCATTGATATAAAGATATTATTGTATCTATGTTCTATTTTTTCATAGCCTATAACTTTAATTCTTAACTTTTATATTACTCTTCTTAAACTTCTATATTTGGCATTATAAACTTTTCGTATAAAGAAAAAAGTTCTTTTCGAGTTTGCAATATGTAGATATCATCTTCTTAAGAATAATCTTCTTTTAATTACGCTGTTAATTTATAATTTACTGGGTTATTGACGAATTCGTTTTAATTTTTATGATATTTTTATAAAACCATATCTTAAATTATGTTTATTAGCTTTTAAAAACTTTAATCTGCTATTTCTAACTTAGGTTTATTACAAGACTTTTTTATATAAATTTTATTAGTGTATTATTTTTAAAATAATTTTATATTTTTATTATTTTTTTATTTTATATTTATATTTTATTTAATATTTTTTTTTATTTTTTTTAATAAAAAATTATAACTTTTATATTATTTATATTTTTATTTAATTTTGTTACCATATCCTATATTCTTATTATTTATTATAAGCTTTATTTTTGTACTTTTTCAAATAATTCATCAAATATTTTTTCTGGATCTTTATCATTAAAAGTGAAGTTTTTTGGAAAATACTAAGAACAAAAAATAAACCATAAAACTGTAGGAGTCAACTGTTTTACTATTTATATTTTTTTTGTTATAAAGCCAATTATTTATTTTTACATGGTGAGGCTTTCGATTAATATTTTAATAAATTTTAAAAATCTATTTTTTTTAAATAATTTATTGATTTGACTAAATCTTAATAGGTTTTTTAGTTTTTTTAACAATATTTCTTTTTAAATTTTTATTTATAAATTTATACTAAAATAATTTATAAATATTTTATTTACTTCAAAAAGTGTACTATCCATTTTTTCTATTATATTATCCTACATTTATTTATTTATTTATTAATTATTTTTAATTTATTTATATGTATATAAATGTTTATTTTCTTTAATTATTTATATTTGTTTTTTTTTGTTAATAATTTTTGTTTTTTTCTTTGTATAGAAATATATGATTTTTTTAATTTAATTAATGTTTTTTTTTAAAGTTATTTATGTTGGCGCCTTTTTTAATAAATCTAGGTATTTTTAAACTTTCAAATACTAAATATATTTAATTCCTATATTTTTACAAAATTTGGATATATTATAAAGATGATATATTGAAGTTATAAAAAATTATTATAAGTTATCAACTATATATTATATAATTAAAAAAAATATTATATAATTTATTTTTATATATACTAAAAAAAATTAGGAATTTTAGTAATAATTTAAAAAAATAAAAATAATAAAATGGTAATTCAAAAAAATAGAACGTATAATTAAAAGTAAAATAAATTTTTAATTTTTAATCAAATATTTTGATGTATTTAATTTTTATAATTAACTCATTTTAAGATATTTTAATATAAATTTATTAAGAAATATTCTTTAAATTAAATTAAATATGTAATTATAAAATTAGTTTATTAATTTTCTTTAAATTGAATAGAACGAAGTTAAAAATACTTAACATTTAAAAGTAATGTTAATTTCAAATATTGGAATTAATCTTTTTATAAATATTTTAATTTTAATTTCTAAATATAATAAATAAAATTTTAAATATCATAAATCTATAATATATTTTTATTTAATTTAAAATAAAATATTTAAAAAATCTAAAATAATTAGAAAACGACTATATTAATAAATAAATTTTAATTTTATAAAAATAAAATAATATTTATTTAGAATAAATATATAAGCATTTTATTTAAAAAATATAAATTATTTAATTATCCTATAAATATTTAATACAAAATAATTAAATACATAAACATATCCAATTATTTATTTATTAAATTTAATTTATTTAAACAGGTTTTTAAAATTTTTTAATTAGTACGTTTATTAACTATTAATTTTTTAATTAAAAATAAAATTACTTCATAAATTTATAATCTTTTTTAAATTTGTAATATTTTTATTTTAAATTTTTTTTCCTAAATAATGAATTAATTTATAATTTATTTTTATTTTTATAAATAATCAACTCACTCTTCTATTTTTTTTTAATTGATAGTTTAGTAAAAATTTTAAGAAGTTTTTTAAAAATTATTTTACTAAATATAATGTCAATATTGTTTTTATTGTTTTATGCGCTTTTTTAATTAACTTATATTTTTTAGAATTAAAGAATTTGACAAAAGTCTATTGATTAATAAAATATTTAGAAGTTTAGTAAAATTGTGAGTATTTTATTTGGTTTATATAGGTTAGCTATTTTCTTATTTTTATTTTAAATATTGTTTGTAACTTTCCCTCAAATTCATATTAATTAACTCAACAAATTTTTTACCTATAAGAACATATTAAAATTATTGTTTTATTAATTTAAATTTAAATTATTGTTTTATTAATTAAAATTTGTATATTTTAATTCTATTTTTATCCTTATATTTATTTTCATTTTAAAAAGGTCTTATTTTCGTTTCTTATTAAAAAGAATTTTTTTATGGAAAACTTATTAATTTTATTAAATTATGAATTCTTCTTTTTGAATATTTATATATGGATATTTATTAAATTTTTGATTTTAATTATATGATTCTATATTTCTTTTATTGATAATAATATTTTTGTTAATATCAAAGAAATATCTATAACTATATCTATCTTTAAAAATAAAGTTTAAAATTATATATGCATTTTTTTTTTTTTTTAAATAGCAATATATACAATATATACAAAGGCGTCATTGATTTCTTATAAGCTTATAGAAAGTAAAATTTCTCATTTTTAATGTTTTAAAAGTAAGTAAACTTTCATAAAATTCTATACACATAACCACTTAAGAATATATATATTAATTTATTATTTTATCTTATTAAAAATAAATATAAATCTGCGGTATTTAAAATATTATTATAGTTAAATAAATTTTCTTTAAAGGAAATCGTATAACTTCATCATAAAAATAAATTTTTGTCAGATATTTTCTAATTTATTACTAAGCATTAATAAATTATTATATTGAAATAAATATATTAGGATTAATCATTTTAATTTAAAATATCAAAGTTTAAATTTAAATCTGACTAGACATAAATAGCTTAAGAGATTTTATTATTTATATTTTTAATTCAAATCATAATTGAAAACTGGTATTTAATTAAAATGTTGTATAGTGCAAGGAACTAATTCTATTTATGACAAATTAAAAATATCAATATCGTTTTTTAATAAAGTTATGTTTTCTTTTTCTAATGTTACTTTAAAATATGGTCTTGTAATATAATCGTCTTACTTTATTCCTATAGCTAACATAAATTTATAAGGCGATAAATAAGCTTTTAATCGATTACGACTTATTATTTTACTTATGTAACTTATACCTATTATTTATAGATAAAATAATTTATATTTTTTTAAAAAATTAGATTTTATATATATGACTTATGATTAAATAATAAAATTCTACTGTATTTTTACAATGTAAAATGTTTTTTTGAAGTTTGAATTTATTTAGCTACAAAATATATCAATATTTTGAAAAAAATAATGAAAATAATATATTAATTAATAAAGTCTTTAAATATTTATTTTCTTTTAATTTTTTTATATTTTTATATGTTTTTTTATTATTTGTTATATAAGATTTAAATATTATTTTAATTTTTAAAATAAACTTAATTATATAAAAATGTATAAATAATTGCAGAATTAATCTAAATAAAATAATCATTATTAAATATAATAAAATAATGAATCAAAAACAAGTTAGGAAAACATTCAATTTAATGATTTAAATGAAAAAAGATAATAAATAAACTAAACAAAATAAATAAGTAATTAATTAAAAACAAATTATTGTTATAATCTTGATTAAATAAAAATTATCTCTCCTCGAAATTCATAATTAAAAAATAATACGAATAATCAGTAAAAAAGTATTTTAAAACAAAATAATTAGCTTGTTAATATAAATGAAATCGCTTAAAAAATAAAATTATAAAATAATAATTAAAAAAACAATTATAATAAAATAACTCATAACTAAATTCCATAACCTAAAACTAATTAAATAGTAATTAAGTTTCCATAACCATCTTATTTCGATAGAAATTCTTTCAAATCAAAAAGATCATCATCTTAATTTTCTGAAAATACAAAGGATAGATCGATTAGTAAGCTTTAGTAGAATATAGTGAATAAGAAAGACTAAAACATAAAATAAATAATTGAAAAATAATAATAAAATAATTTTGTAAGTTAATTAAAAGAATTTTCACAAAACATTCTTTGTAAAGCTTAATAGATTTTTTAAACTAACAAAAGATATGGTTGTAATTGTGATATTAATTTAAAATAAAATGAAACATGTTCAAAAGCAATAAATTTTCTTCTTCTAAAATATTAATTAAAAGAGTTAGCTTATTTAAAAGAAACATACAATAAAATAAGTTTGTGTAATATTCCTAATATGGAAAAATATTTCTTTTAAATAGAAAAAGATATTTAAAGAACATTACCTTAAATCGAAATGTTCCAATAATAATAATATATAAATAAACTAAAAATAATACTAGAAAATATTTCTTTGTATGATCCTAATATCGGTAAATATTTAATTATAGCTTAAATTTTATATATCATTTTTTTTATATTTATAGTTATATATTTTAATTATTGTTTGTTATAAAAATAGGATATGTTTAAGGAATGAATATGATTGCTGCAAGCCTTCTTTTTCACTGTGAAGAATATATTGCTTTTTGGATTTTCCAAATGATTTTTGAAAAATTAGAAATGAGAGACATTTATAAATAACGTATAAAAAATTTTTATATATTTTTATTTAATTTAATTTTTTTTTTTGAAATAAAAAGACTTACCAGGATTATCTAAACATACATAATTAATTGATATATTGATTTTAAAAAATCTGCCTGATTTGTATTAACATTTAGTATGTATAAATATTAAAAAATTAATTGATTATTAATTATTATTTTAAATATATATATAAAAGTGTATTTAATAAATAAAAGTAGATTTTTATTGTTCGCCTTGGTTATTTTCTTTATTTTCAATAATATTTAACCCTTAAAGATTAGTAATATTTAAAATTATCGTTATTTATATATACAATTTTATTTTATTAATAAAGATTTATTTTTATGAATAGATTTATAAAGAAGGATGGTGTATGTTTTATAAAATAGTTTTAGCGTTTTTAACTTATCATAAGGATTAATTACTAGATTTGGAAGCAGGAGAAATATTAAAAATACTGACATAATATAACTATAAATTTGAATAATAATAATATTGGGACCTTATTTTAGAAAATTGCAAAATAATATAAATTGATAAAATTTTTATAGATTATATGTTAAATAATTATGATAATGATAAAAACTAATTTAAAGTTAATATATATAAATATAGGAAACCATTTAAATGATTTAAAATAATATATAAATAAAAAAATTATTAATATCATTTAAAAAATTCTGGATATATTAGTAAATTAAAAAAGGTTTTAAGAAAATATATAAATTTATATTGTATATATTTTAATAATGTAAATTAAATATATTAAATTTAACTTTTATTTATATTATAAAAAATAATATTTTTATCATGAATTTAAATACTAACTTGATACATAATTAATTGATTCTATATTAAACAATGAAGTTTTATTTTAATTAATTTTTTATGGTTAACTTAGAATCTAAGTATAATAGTTAAAAAATTATATGGTATGATTATTAAAATTAATAATAATAATTCCTTTGTAATTTAAAAATGCATAGTAATTATCACAATCAAAATAAAAATTTACACATTCAAGGTCAAGAATTTAAATCTAGATATAAAAATAAATAAATAAAAATAATAAAAAATAAAAATAAATAAATAAAAATAAAAATAAAAATAAAAAATAAAAAATAAAAAATAAAAAATAAAAAAAAAAATATATATGTATATATATATATATATATTTATTATATAAACATTTTAAATAAATTTTATAAGTAAATATATATAAAAATATCTATATTTATATTTTTATTGAATTAAATATATTAATATATATTTATATATATATCTTTTAATATTTTTTAATTTATTTTTCTAAAAATATATAATCTATATTTATATCTATATTATTATTTTTTTATTTTATTTTAATTTTAATTTTTTTATTTTATTTTATTTTATTTTATTTTTTTATGTATATATATATAATGTGTTTTAAATAACATTTTATTTTACTTTTCTTCTTTAAAAAATTCTTGATAATATTCATCAATTTTTATCCAATTTTAATCATCAAGAAAATTGAATTTATACATTTTTCTTAATCTTTTTTAATCTCTACTTTTTTTAATAGGTGTAAAACACATTTGTTTCCCAAAAGTCAATTCAATATTATTTATAGTTTATTTTTCATTAGATTCTTTTGCTATAAATTTTACTTACTATGAAGAATTATATTTTTTATTAATTTAAAAGCTTTTTATATTTTATTATGTGGCATCAATTTATTTTTCATAAATTTAAATATTTAATAAAGAATTTATTGTTATTAAGTTTTTATCTTTTATATTAAATAAAAAATTGCTTACATTTTTAAAGTTATTTGTTAATATTGCAGATATTTTTCCTTATTTACAATCTATTTCAATTATATTTCCTTCTTCCTATAGTGCGTATAAATACTAATTTTTTTAATTCAAAAATTATATTTGTATTATGTTTTAATTTTCAATAGTAAATAATTTATTAAATGAAGTTAATGAGTAAACATTTATTAATTAATCTTCTGAAAAGGATGCTAGTAAATTTTGACCATCTTTTTAAATGGAGATTATTTTTTTTGAATGTGCTTTTATTGAAATACTTTTTTTTAAAGATTTTACTGTTTTATATGTGAATTAAAAAATATTAGATGACCATCTAAAGATGTAACAGCGAAAAACATTTAACATTTTTCCGGTAAGAAAACTAAATTGTTTAATTTCAAAGGATAATTTTCATAATTATTTATTTTTTAATAAACTATGTTGTTTCCGAATAAGTTCTTTAAATAAATATCTCCTTTATCTGTAATCAAAGATAAAATTTTATTTTAATATATGCCAACGTGATGTATTTTATCATTTTATTCTGTAAAAAGTAAAAAAGAATATAATAATTTAAACTGTTTTTATTATGAATATATTCTAAAATAATAATTTTTAAACCATAAGCATATTATATCATTTAAAAAGATAATTTATTTTATAAAAAACTAATCTTTAGATTTCAAACTTTCTTATTAGTTTAAATTAATTGAATTTTTATAAATATTTGATTAATTTTCATTATTATTTGATTTTTCTAATAAATAAGTATTTTATATTTATTTTTACAAAGTTTTATTTCTCCAAAAATGTATTTCTTACATTTTTTAATTATTAATATGAAGCTAAGAATTAACTTTCATTCCATAAATATAGTTTTTTCTGTCTGAAAAAATATAAAGCTTTTCTTAAATAGAACAAAAAAGACATATACTAACATTCAAATTATCTTTAGGTCTTATGATTTGAACTTTTTCTAATTTATTCAAATTCCAAAGAATAATTTAGCTTTTAGTATTTATTGAAATTATTTATTCTTATTCTTTATAAAAAAAATATCAAAAATTAAATCCCTTTCTTTATTATTTATTATTTACATTTTTTCACTTAAAGGCCAATAAAAAATTATCTATCCTTAAGAAGTTCCAAAAATTATAATTCGGTCTTTAAAAGAGAAATATAGTGCTGCCGAAATAGAATATTTATGATTATTTTGATCCAATTTTTTATTTTATTAAAGGAAATAAGTTCTATCTAATTCAGATATATTTGAAAATATAAAAAACTGAGAAGAATAGCTAGTTATTAAAATTGAACTTTCATTTTCACAATATTTTATGTGTTAGAGAGATATTTGATTATTTGAGTTTATTTTTTGATATTCTGGAAAATTATATTCATATATCTAAATAAATGATTTTTGGAAAATTTCTTAATTGTTCTATTCATTAATATCGAATTCAAATACTTTCAATAAAAGTTAGCTTTCAAAAAGTAAAAGAATATTCCATTTATTTGTTATTTTATTTAATGAAAAATGCACTTTTGATAAAATTTAATTAAATTAATGTGTATAAATGAATTTTAAAAATATTTTTCCTTTCTTTTTAATAATTTTTTCCAGTTTTAACATACAATTTAACGTTGCTCTTGCTAATATGTTTAAATTATCACAGTAGGTGATAGTTGAGATGTAAATTTTTTAGTTTTCGAATTTTTTTAATAGAGAAAAAGGAGGAGAGGAATTATTTTCTAATTAAATACTATTTGTTAATTATTAAATATTTGGTTTTTTAATTTATTCATCCAATGTTTTTAAATATAATAACTACTTTTAAGCCTCAGAAAATCTAAAAGAGTTTTTTTTATCATAAAAAGTAGTATCAGTTACTATATTATTTTACTTTTCTCTTATGTAGGAAAATAAATGAACTTTTTTATTATTTTTTTTATTACCAAATTATTTTAAATGATTCATATTTATTTTGTTTAGTTCCTTATCTTTCTTTAACTCATTCATTACTTGTACAAAATCACCAGTTTACTAAACAGGTAATTAAGCAAATTTCTTCCATATTTAATGCATACATTCTTTATTATTTTATAAATAAGCTTCTAATTCTGCTGAATAATAATTTTTATTATCATTTTAGATTTGGGAAAATTCTAACAGATTAATTTCTTAAGTACTTATTTTAGGAGATTTTTAATTCTAAGTTTTGTAAAAGGAAAATTATTAATCAAAACTTAAAGTCTGTCTGGGAGCTTAACGCATATAATTAGATTAAAATGAAGTTTTTATTTAGGAATTAAATCGACTTTAAATTGATTTTTTTTCATTGAAGGTTGAACATAAATATGATTTTAATACATTTTTATAATTAAATTCATCACTAAATTACTTTTAATTTTTTTTTTTTTAATTTTAAATTTTATTTATACATTAAAATTTGATGAGTTTTGGGTTGATAATGTTGATGTTTTATTTAATTTTTAAATTATTCGTTTTTATTCACTGTTTTTCTTTTCTGGTTATTTTTTTTTTCTTTCTATATTAGTTTAGGTAAATTATATGCATTCATAACAATTAGTAAATGTTGTAGAGTCAAATATTGAAAGAATTCCATCATCAAAAACAACTAAAAAATATAGTTAGTCTTCTAAGTTTAATTCAATAAAGTACTAAATTATATAATTTTTTTTGTTTTTAATCTAAGTAGTTTTTTATGGTTTTAAATTTATGTTTTATTATTCTTAAAGAGTTTTTATTTAATTTTTGGAATAAAACCAATCATATAGATTTTCTCGTAAATCACTTTCTTTGACTAATATTTCTTCAAATTGATTCCAGTTTATCTAATTTTTTTAATATTAATAATAATATATACATATAACTATTTTGATATTTTCAATACTTTATTTGAATATAATATTTGTTCTAATGTTTTTTTAATAAATTTTGGATTTATTTTTAGTTTTTAAGATAATACTTAACTTAATTTCTTTCCATTCAATAAAATATATAAATATTATTATTTTTAAATTAATTAATTTAAATTTTTACATACATCAAGACTAACTCCTATGTCATAATTATTTTTTGAACATGCTTATAATTTTGCTTAATCAAATAATAATTTGATTTCGCTTAAGTCTTGAATAGACAAATCTAACGGATGTTTAGGATTTTAAAATTGCTCCTCCATTTTATAAATAACAAATTAATTAATAAAAGTAAAATTTAAATAATAATTATTAATAATATACATAGAATAAAATTTTAATAAAATATAAAAAAAATTATTATTTAATTAAAAAATTTTGTATAGAATTTCAATATAATATTTATATAATTTTTTAAAAAAATTAATATTTATTTTTATTAAATTAATTTATATTTTAATAATTTTATTTACAAAAATTTATAATTTATTAATTATAAATATTATTTTATTTATATAAAATAAATATGATATATCGTATTCTTTTATATTCATTTGTTCTATATTTCTTATTAAAAATATATTCTTTAAAAAAAACAAATAAATTTAAAAATTAGATTTCAATAAAAAATTTACTTTATACATGATTCAATAATAAAATCATCAATTTATCTATTTAAATTCTTATCCAATTCTATTTTTTTTACTTAAGTTGGATACTCTTATCTATATTTCAAAGCCAATAATCTAAATAACTCTAACTCATTCTATATAAAAAAAAATATAAAAAATAAGTATTAATAATTAATAAATACGATATCCTGATTTTATTTTTATAATAAACTTTTTGCTTTTATTTATTAAAGTGATTGCTAAAAAAATATATTAAATTAATCCCTTTTTTATTATATTTTTAAATAATATAATAAATAATTTTTAAAAGTAATACATTATTGGTTAAGTTTCATTTTCTTATTCAATTTAATATATTTATGTAACTTATTTTAATTTTTAATAAAAGAAAAGTGGAATAGATAATCCTTTACATTCTTTCCCAAATAATTCTTACAAATTAGCTTTAAAAATATTAAATGAGTTACTTTTTTTTTATTATAAAAAATATTTATAAATTTTTAATAAACTTTTGTTTATTATAAGCCAAATTTCCACTTCTAACAAATAATTCGAAAAAAATTTCACATAAAGATTATCTTAAATAATCCATAATTTAAGTTATTCCTTCTATTAAGCCAATATCTTCTGAAATTTTTACAATTTTAACTTATTCTTCAAATTATTTTCTAAGATTATTTTCTTATTAAAATCTAGTCTTTTCAATTTCAATATATTCATTAATTTTATATTTCAAACTTTTATTATCACTTTAAGTTTTATCTAAAATTTTTTGTTTTTCTTATAATTATTATTTTAAGTTTTTATTTTCTTAAAAAAATTAAGCATTAACCTTTCTTAATTCATATATTTCTGATGCAAATGGTAAACTTTAAACTTATTTGACAAATAAATCATTTCTTTTTTCTAATTATACTTATTCTTCTTTTTTATTACTTAACCTATTTTCTAATTCTCTTATTTTTTATTTTAGTTCTCTTATTTCTAATTACTTATCTTGTAGTTATAATTGCAATTTTTATTTATTAAAATTTGTTTGGCTATTTTAAGTTATGTTTTCTTTTATTTAATTTTTAAGTTATCTATATTATTTTAAAATAAAACTGATATAAAAATAAAATAACTATGAAATATGCATGCAATCTGATAACTATAATCCTTTTTTTTTAGTTTTCTTTTTTCCTGAAATATCAAGAGATTATTTTTTTGGAGAACACTATTATTATATTTAAATCTGAGTCTTATTTTAATCTTAATCTTATTAAAATAAATGTATTGTTTATTATTTTGGCTCAACTTACATTCTTTCATTTTTTATTTAGAAATTTTGTTATTTTATAAAATAAAACTTTACTTTGATTAATTAGATTATTATTCATATTCAAATTTCATTTGATATTATTATAATTTTCTATTTAAATATAAAATTTTATATTAACATAATAATTTTAAAGAAAATAAATTAAAACTATTTATGTAGATTTTCTTCAGCTTTATTTCTTAACCTTGATAGCTCAGCACATTTTGCTTCTAACTCTTTAATATACTTTTTTAATTTATTTTTAGATTAAATGATAATATTAATAAAAAATAATTATTACTAAAGATTTATGTTATATATTTTCTTAACTTTAGCTTTTCTCATTCAAATGCATCATATTTTATTTATACTCCTATTTAAATTTTCATAAAAAAGTAAATTATTTTATTATTTATTATAATAATTTAATTAATACTTCATATGGAATATCTTAATCACAAAATTATTCAAATTACTTTTTTTATTTAATTTAAAAGTATTAAAAAATTATTGTTTGTACATAATTATTTTTTATATCTTTAAAATCATTGTTTGATGGCTTATAATTCTGTATTAATATGAATAATAATTAATTCAGAAATAAAAAGGATATTTTACATGAAATTAGTAATCACTATTATATATCATATTTATTATTTAAATATCGATATTTTTATTTTTTAACAAAATAGTCAATTAATATAATTTTTTTAATAAAAGTAAATATTTAAAATAAATTATTATATAATTTTAGTATTAAATGACTAATATTTATTGTTTTTGTTTTCCATATATTAAATAAATTTTATATAACATAACAATTAAATAATTTAATTATAAAAATAAATTTAAAATTTGTATTATATTCCTCTTCTAAATATGAATATCTATAAATATTTTGCATTTATAATAAAATAATTACTTTTACTGAAATTTTAGCAAGTAAGCAAAAATAAAAATATTAACAAAAAAATTAAAAAATATATTAAAAAAAGTAATCATAAACGATTATAAAAATAAAAAATTGAGCAATCAAGAATAAGAAATAAAATAATATTAAAGTGTATAAGTATTAATTCGTATAAGGGAACTAAATCAACGAGAGAAAGAATAAGGCAACGAAATATGTGTATGGAAACAAAGTGAAACAACTATAAAGATTTAAGACTAATTTTTTTAATTTGACAAAATAATATCCCCTTAAGCTAACTAATATGATATATTTGATTTAATTGGCAAATAAATGATAAAATCATGTTTATAAGGATACAATATATGTATATTTGCTTATGGTTAAACAGGAGCAGGAAAAACATATACAATGATAGGAAAAAGCGAGGAAAAGGATTAAGGATTAATACAAAGAATGATGAAGTACTTATTTGAATGTTTAAATAATTAAAAATGTAAAGAATATCACATAGAAAGTTAATATTTGGAGATTTATATGGATGAAATAATAGATTTATATCAACCTATACCTCCTAAAGGAAAAAATATACGAGTTATAGAAGATTAGAATGGTGTTAGGGTAGAAAATCTGACATAAGTAGAAATTTTTTCTTGTGGATAAGCTATAGAGCTGATAACTAAAGGATAAAAGAATAGACATGTAGAAAATAACAGAATTAATAAAGAAAGTTCAAGATCTCATTCTATATTTACAATTTAAGTACGGACAATTTAAGTTCAAGACTCTGAAAATAGTCACGATATTACAAAAGAGAAAAAATCAAAGATTCATTTTGTTGATCTAGCAGGATCAGAAAGATTAAAATAGACGCTTTGTGAAGGATAAAGATTAAAAGAAGCAAATAAAATAAATATAAGTTTAACATAATTAGGTATTGTAATGAGAGGATTATCCGAAAATCAATAGAATATTTGTTATAGAAACTCTAAATTAACTCATATTCTTAAAGATTCACTTTCAGGAAATTCTAAACTAGTTATGTTTGCAGCTGTTAGTCCTGCTTTGGAATGTTATTTAGAAACTTTAAGTACTATTAAGTTTGCTGAAAGAGTTGGGAAAATTCATTTTATAGTACAGGCTAATGAATTCAACTCTACTTTAAGTTTAGAAGGATTGTAAAATGAAATTAGAAGATTGAAAAAATAATTATTAGAAAGCAATAATATCAATAGTAGTATTAATAATAATAATAATAATAATAATAATAATAATAATAATAATAATAATAATAATAATAAAACTGATATTAGTAATTATCAAAGCAATGAAGATATAAAATCTTGGATTTTATAGTATTTAAAGGATATTGGGTTTGAAACCTTATTAGTTGATTTAAAATTAAAAATATAAAGTTTAGATGATTATAATAAGATTAGTTTTTTGGATGATAATTAAAGCGAAAATAATATCATTAATAGCATTTTTGAAATTGAAAGTTTAGATAAAACAAATATTAATTTAATAGTTTAAGAATTTTTCAACAAAATTAAATAAATTTTTTTTACAGGAAATGAAGAGAATTTTTCAAAATAGAAAAATGAAGATTTGGAAAAAAAAAATTTTGGTTTAGAAAATATTTTAAAAGAATTTGAATAAAAATATTAGGAAGAAAAGCAATAAAAAATTTTTTTGAAAGATATATTATCAAAAAAAAATAAAAAAGAAAAAGATTTAAAACTCGTTTATAATTTTTTTGGAATCGATGATGAAAAAAATGAAGAAGAAAGTGTAGAAAATTTAAAAAAATTTATTTAAAGTTTGATTAAAAAATAAAATAATAAAAATTTTATTGATTTATAAGATTAAAACTTCAATTTAATTAATAACGTAATGATCAAAGAAGAAAAAATAGCAATTTTGAACTCTTAATTAGAAGAATTATAAAAAATAGAAAAAGAAAATATATAAAAAATAAATGAAATATAAAATAAAATAGGATAAAATGATGAAACTAATAAATAATTAAAAGATGAAAACAAAAAATTAAAAAAACTTTCTTAAAATTTTCGAAATAACATTGATAAGTTAAATTAAGAAAATATTCTTTTAGATGAAAGAATGTATGCATTAAGTAAAAGTATTTACATAAAAGAAAAAAACTTTAATTAGTTTGGAAATAATAATGAATAAAATACAAATAGTAATTCTTCCGACTTGCTTTTTTAAGAAAAAAATATGAAAATTTATTAAGATTCAATATAATCAACTACCCTTTGTAACAGAGCTCATTAAAGCAGATAAAAGTTGTTTGAATAAATTAATAATTTTAAAGGAAAAGAATAGGAAAAACAAATCTTACTTAAGTTTTTACAATAATAAAATCTTAATCTTTTTTGATTTTGATTATATAATTATTTATATTTTGTTCAAAGATTATAAACTTATATTTAGTTTATTTAAAATAAATATAAAAATTATTTTGATTTATGTTTTTAAAATAAAAATTTTAAATTATATAAACATTTAAATTTAATATAATTTTAAAAGTTTTAAAAATATATAATTTTGTTAAAAAATATAATAATAGGCTAATAAATTTGACTAATAATTGTTATAAAATCAAAAAATATTAAAATGGTAATTATTATCTAACTTATATGAAAATATCAGAATTTATAGTAAAAAATAAAATAATGTTCAGCTCAAAGATTATTATATGTTAAAGAAGTATAAAATAAATTAAAAATCTTACAGAAAAGAAAATAAGCAAACTAATTATGAAAATTTTATTCCAAGTAAAAACTGTCTTAAAATAATAATAATAAGCAATTTTTAAATAAAAAGAAAAACTCATTATTAGATAAAAAATAAAATAATATTTATTATGATAAAAAAAAATTGAAATTGAAAAAAAAAATAGTTTACATAATACATAAATTCAATTAAAATACTTTTAGAAGAAAATATTTTTTTTTCAATTGTTTTTTTAAAGTCAATAATTTTGTGCGTTTTCATTTTTTTTAATTGAGTTTTAAATAGAAAATAAAGATAAATAATAAATAAATAATATTAAAAGATTTATGTATGTAGATACGCTAAATATATAAAAAATATATTATATTAATTTATATTTGTGATATAGATAACTAACCAAACAACCAATTTATTTGTTATTATTATTGTATAAATAAAAAATAATAGATAAATGATTAGTTTATTATATATATGCATATAATTAATATATTATTTAAAAATATAAGAATCTAATGAATATTTATTTAAAAAATAAGGTTTTTTATATTTTTGCATATTATAAATCTTTATTAAATTATATTTTTATTTATAAAAAAAGTTTTTAAAAATTATAATATATAAATTATTATAAAATATAAAAATAATTTAATATAGTTTTTTATTTATATTATAAAATTCAATTTTTTTTATATTTTTATTATTATTTATTAGATTTAAAAAATTTTGTTAATTTTAAATTTACAATTATTTTATACATTTTGTAAATATATATAAAAAATATATTATATAAATTAGACTTATTAATTTTTTTTTTAAATTTTAATTTATAAAAATAAATTACAAAAATAGAATTATTTAAATTATTTATTTTTTAAAATTTATAATAATCCTTAAAACCTTAGAAAAATCTACATTTTATTTTTTAATAATAAATTATCCTAATATTAATTAAATATAACTTTAAATAATTTAGATAATGTATCATTATCAGAATCTAAATAATTCTTTCGTTTTATTTATAAAAAATAAAATATATTTTTTAATAAATGATTATCTTACAAATTAACAAAAAATCAATAAAAATAGACTTATTTTAAATTATATTTTTTATAAATGCAGATAAATATATAAAATAAATCTTTTTAAAATTTTGATATAAAAAACAAAATAAATTTTTTATAAATAAAATAAAATAAATAAAAAATTTTGATAAATCAAAAAAATCCACAAAAATAAAAGCAAAAAAAAAAAAAAAAATATGCCAAAAATAGTAGACAACTACGTATTAGAACGAAAAATTGGTTCAGGCTAATTCGGAGACGTTTTTAAAGGATATAACAAAATAAATAATTAAGACATTGCTATAAAAGTAGTAAAACGCGAACTTTTAAAAGGTAAATTCAATGAACTTCTTGAGAATGAAATTAAAGTATTAAGAACATGTAATAATGAAAACATAATAAAATTATATGACATAAAGAAGACTGCAAATAATTTTTATTTAATGTTGGAATATTGTAATGAAGGAGATTTATTATAATACTAAAAAGAAAAAAAATACTTAACTGAAGACGAAGCAATCGAATTTCTCATTTAAATTTTAAATGCATTTAAAACTTTAGTTAAAAGTAAAATTATGCATAGAGATTTTAAGCTCGCAAATATCTTAAAACATAATGGGAACATAAAAGTTGCGGATTTTGGATTTTCTAAACTCTTAGGAAACGACAATATGGCTTAAACTATGCTAGGCTCTCCTCTTAATATGGCTCCGGAAATTTTGGATGGGCAAGAGTATAATAATAAAGTTGATATTTGGTCAATTGGAACTGTCTTTTATGAACTATTATTTGGAAAATCTCCTTTTACAGCTACAAATATGATTGATTTAATTAAAAACATAAAGACAAAACCATTAGATATTCCGAAAAAAATAAATAAAATATCTCCTGCAACTGAAGATATATTAAAAAAAATGCTAGTTGTAGATCCTAAAAAAAGAATAGAATGGGATGAAGTATTTAATCATTAAATAAACCATTTGCTAGATGACAAAATAAAGAATGATCTAGAAGCTACATTAAAAGATGATGGATAATTAGCAGTTAATATGTCAAAGTTTTATATAAAAAATAATAAAGTTATAAATCATCCAAGTGAAATTGAAAAAAAGCAAGAATTAAATAATTATGCTATTAATGTTGCAAAAGGAAGTGTTTAATAATAGAATTATTAAGGTGCAATGATAAAGAGACAAACAGAAAGAAATAATGATGAAGATAATAGTTATTAAAATAGCCAATAGACATAATAATCTTAATAAGAAGAAAATAAAAACAATGAAGAAGATGAAATGTAAACAAAAGAGTCAGTTCGTGAAATGTAAATTAGAATAAAGAAAAAAAATGCAAATCGTATTTTACATGAAAGAAATATCTATGTATTTTTGGCTTCTATTGCAGAAGATGCTATGAATAATACTGATTTAAAAAGTTTTGAAATGGTTGGATTTTTGCTTGTTAAGAAACTCTTATAGTAAGTAGATTTATTATGTAATAAATTGAAAAAAAAAGAAAACTATTTCAAACTTGAATTATGGGATTTATTTGTCACTTCTAAAGATTATAATGATATTTATGACTATATTGAAAAAGAACATGATGTATTTCGATTATATTTTAACTCAATGTGGGAAAAAATAAAAGGCTCTCCTAATATTGTTAATTGTAATGATCCGTAAATTAAATCTGCCATTTCTAATAATATAGCTTAAAATATTGATTAGGTTCTTATAAAGATTCTTTAAGAATATTCTTAGGAGTTAATTGGTCATATTATTGAAAAAACTAAAGACGTTAAAGATTTGGAACCTTTTAAATAATTAATGATCCATGCTGATAGAATTCTTGATTGCTTAAACCTTGAAAATACATTTTAATTTGAAAATAATAATAATAAAGAATAATTCAATTTCAAATAGTATTATGATGAAGATGATAAGTTAGAAGCTGATCAGTTGATGAACAAAATTTAGCTTAAACTTAATTAAGTTAGCTAAAGTTGATATTTTTATTATTATTTTATTTTATTTTTATTTAACTGTTATGATTTAATTTTAGTTTTTTTTTTTTCTCCTTTTATATATATATAAAAATCAAATAGTAAAAGTAAAAATAATAATAATCTTTGTTTACACATTTTTTATATTATTAATGATTTGGATTTGGAATATATTTTTTTTATATTAAAATAAAAATTCAGAAAACTTCATTTTTTTTGTTTGAATATTTTTTTTTTAAAAAAAAAGCTTTGTATATGTATTAATTTTTATTTTTTTTATTTAAACAATATTATTTAAATATAATTATTTTTTGTATTGAATGCCTATTATTTACTAAAATAAATATATTTCACATTTCAAAATTTTCAAAACGATCTAATGTACAAATATATTTTATTTTATTGCTTTTTAATAAATTAACAAGAAATTATAATATAATGATAGTAAAAATAAGTCAAAATAATTAGTATAATAAAGTAATAAATAAATAAATGAAAATCATAATAAATATAAAAAAAAATGAAAATTATAATAAATTTAAATAAAAATGAAAATTAAGTATACATCTATTATAGTTATAAAAGAAATTTAAATAATAAACTAAAATTCGAAAAAAAAAAAAAATACAAAAAAAAAAACTGAAAAATAAATAATTATGTATCATTAAATAAAAAATTCTAGAAATTTTATAATAATTATAAATTTATAATTCTATTATATATTATTTGTAATAAAAGTAAACTACGCTAAAATGAATAAATAAAAAATACATTATAAATATTATAATTATATTTTTATTTTAAATATAATAATAAATTATAATTAAATAAAAAAAATATTAAATAAATAATAAAAAAATACATAATACAAAAATGATATTATCAACATAAGATGAAAATCCAAATTTAAATCCAAATAAAATTTATAAAAATAAATCATATGAGGAAATCATATTACATGTTAAATAAAACAAAAATTTTTTTGAATTTTTAGATAATTCTTAAACAGAATCTTCTTCGGAAGAAGAAGATAATAATAAATCTATTAACAACAAAGATAAAATAATAAATCATAAAGAAACTAGTAGTCCTAAATAAATCCAAACTCCAGAAACAATATAAAAAAACATAAAAAAGGAAGATGTAGATAATCTAAAAAACATGAAAAGTTCAGAAAATATCCATCAAAAAAGTTCAAAAAAATAAAAAAAAAGGAAAGAAACTATCAATGAATCTATTCCAACAATAACCAACTAAAAAAATTCTCAAGAAATAACTAAAAAATTATAAAAAAAAGAAGAAAAAATACAAGAAAAAGAATAAAATAGTAACGAAAAAAACTTAAAATAATAAAAATAGAAAAAAATTCCTTTAGCAGCTAAACTAGCAAAATAAAAATTAGAATAAATAGAAATACAAAGAAAAGAACAGCAAAGAATTCATGAAGAAAAAATAAGGCTAGAAGCAGAAGAACGCAAAATTTAATAAGAAGAACTATTAAAAAAATAAGAAGAAAAAAAATAAAAGAAACTTCTTCTATAATAAACTTTAAAAAATCCAAAATAAAAGCTTGAAGAATTTAAAAAATAATAATTTCTAGCTTCCTTTTTAAAAAAAGATAGTGAAGATATTTTAAAAAATTCAACAGAAATTCCAAATATATAAAAAAGAAAAGAAAAAAGTGAAGATTTATAATCCATGTCTCCTTTAAAATTTTCATAAAGTTCTGACTTTTGTAAAAAAAATAATTGTCGTTGTCCTATAGTATCTATATTAGGTCATGTAGATACAGGAAAAACAAAGCTTCTTGATAAATTAAGAAATACAAATGTATAACTAGGAGAAGCTGGAGGAATAACTTAATAAATAGGCGCAACATATTTTCCAAAAGAAAATATAATCCAACAGATTGAAAAGTGTGTAGAATTTTATCCCTTAAAAGAATAAGAAATCAACAACTTATTAATAATAGATACTCCGGGACATGAATGCTTTGAAAATTTAAGAAAAAGAGGCTCTAAAATGTGTGATTTGGCCATTTTAGTAGTGGATTTAATGCATGGACTGGAAGCTTAAACAATTGAGTGTATAAATTTGTTCAAAAAATAAAAAATTCCATATATAATTGCTTTAAATAAAATAGATAAATGCTACGGATGGAATAAAAAAGAGTTCAGGTCCAGTTTTTTTGCTTTGAAAAATCAATAAAAAAATACAATAAATGATTTCAATTAAAGATTTTAAGAAATCGTTACTTAGTTTTAATAATAAGAAATTAACGTGACTCTTTTCTGGGATGAATCTTTAAATAGAAAAGAATTTGTATAAGTTATCCCTACTTCAGCAATTAGTGGAGAAGGAATTCCTGATTTATTGAGCGTTGTATTGAAATAATACTAGATTTTATAAAATTATTAGGATGAAGATGAGTTTTTCTCTTGTGTAGTAATGGAAGTCAAGAAGGTTGAAGGTTTAGGATTCACTGTTGATGCAATTTTAAAAAAAGGGTCAATTAAAAAAGATGATAAAATTGCGCTTGTTGGGTTCAATGGAATCATTAAAACTAAAGTTAAGGCTATTCTAACACCTCATCCTATGAAAGAAATGAGGATTAAAGGATAATATATAAAACATTAAGTAATTAATTTTTTCAAATATAAATTTTTAAATAAATATTATTTTTATAAAAATTAGTAAATAGAAGGTTCAATTGGTATAAAAATATATGCTCCAGATCTTGAAAAAGCAATTGCAGGAAGTGAACTTCATATAATAAATTGCTAAGAAGATGAAGATTATGCAATGACTATGTTAAAAGATAATCATTTAGAATTAAAGAAAATTTAATTATAAGAATAAGGAGTTGTTGTTTTGGCTTCCTCTTTAGGTTCTTTAGAAGCTTTATGCGAATTTTTGTAAAGTCAAAAAATACCTATTTCATATACATCTGTCGGTTCTGTATGCAAAGAATGTGTGTCTATTGCCCTAAAGTAAGGCATTGTTGGATAAAAAGAATTTGCTTGTATTTTAGCTTTTGATGTTAAAGTTTTACCAGATGCAGCAAAATATGCAGAAGAAAATCATATAAAAGTTTTCACAGCAAAAATAATTTATTAATTATTTGATTCCTTTAAAAAATATTAAGAAGAATGTATCCTTATTAGAAAAAAAGAAGAAGGAAAGTTAGCCGTTTTTCCATGTATTTTTAAACCAAACAATATTCTTTGTAATTCAAGCCCATTTTTGATAAATGGAGAAGTTAAATAAGGAGTTATTAAAGTTGGAACTCAATTGTGTACTTATAATTAAGAAAAAATAAAAGTAGGAATTGTTGAAAATATAGAAGTTAATAAGAAAAGTGTAAAAGAAGCTAGAAAAGAAAACGGATATATTACTATTAGAATTAAAGGAAGTGATAACTTTTCAACTAATTGCAAACTTGTCTCAATTTTAAGTAGGGAATCTATCGATGCTCTTAAAGAGTTTTATAGAAATGATGTTAGTAAAAGTGAATGGGTTCTAATTAAAGATAAGCTTAAACCTTTCTTTAATATTGTTTGAATTATTTTAATTATAATTTTTTGCTTTTTATAGATTTATATATATATATAACTTTATATTATTACATTTGGTTTACTTTAGTATAAAAATATATAAAAAATATTCATGAAAATAACAAAATTCATAAATTTTAATATTTTTGGTAAAATTAAACTACTGATAAACTTGATAATGAAGGATGTAAAGGCTCTTATTTTAATATTTTATTGACTATATTCTTTATTTCATTTGATTTCGTTTACTTTAAGTTAATTAACAAAAATTAATAAATAATTTAATATATTATACATTAGATATTTTAGATATATCTTCATTAATAGAAGTATTGATAGCATTAGTAGTTTAAGGATCTTCAATTTTTTCATTATATCTATTTAATCCGAATCCATCATTTTCATCATCAAGCATTCTATTAATTTTCGAATGTTTCTAACAAAAATAATGGAATAAATAAAAAAATAAAAAAATACAGAAACTAAAAGCTTAATAATAAATAATAAAGTATATTAAAATTATTTTCTATTTGGAATTTTTTGCAAAAGAATTGAAAATTCTTTAATAAAACTAGCAATGCATTCGTAAGAAAATTGTCTTTTTTTAATAAACATAATTTCTACAATTTTAATAATCAAAAGCTCTTCTTCTGGACTTAATAAATTAAAAACCTATTAACTTCTATTTAAATCAATAATAACATGAAAGAAATTCAAAGAAGCTTCTTTGTCATCTATTTCAAATACTTAACCAGGTCCATTAATTATTACTTCAATAGTATAAATACAATGTAATCTTTTATGTAGAGCTTTCGGATCAGTACCATGTTTGTTGATTGCGTATTATCTTAAATTTTATGCGCATTATATCAAACATCCCATTATATTCCAGATTAAATCAACGTTTATCATATGTATAAATCTTTTTTGTTTATATAATTTATATTTTATATATAAATTTTTTTTACTTAACTATTCCATCCATTAAAGAAGAAAAAAATTTTGTTGGAGAAGGCCTTTTTATTAATTTAAAATATATATAATATAATTTCTCAAGTATATCTGCATTATATTTTATTATTTGTTTAGGATCTATATCAGCTTCTCCTTCTTATTATTCTTCTTTAAGTTCTTTTTTCATTTTTTTTAACTCTTTTTTGTCTACTCCTTTCATTTATTTAACCTTATCAGCCTCATTTTTTTTTCTTCTATTGCATTTTGATATTTTCTTTTCTTATTGTTTTTTAAATTTCCTTTTTCAGTATCTTTATCTTTATAAAATTAACTTTTTGCTTTTTTATACTTTTTTTTTTTTAAATAAAATAAAATAAATAATTTTTTATTTTATACATCTTATATTTTTTTCTTTTTTTCTTCGTCTAAATCTTTTTTTAAGTATTTAGAATCTATTGAAACATTATTTATAATTTCAATAAAATCATCAGGAAGATCCTTTTCTGATGTCTAATTAAGCATTTTCCCCATTTCTTTTAATAAAACAACTTTTATCTCATCTATTTGTGATTTTTTTATATTATTTATAATATTTTTTATAATTATACATAAAGAATGAGTTGGATCTGAAAGTATTTTTTTTATTGTAGATTTGGCTGGCTCCTGTACCTTTTAAAAAAATTATTTATTAATTAAATAATATTTTTTTTTAAATTTTACTTTCAAATCAATTGAACATATCTTATGAACTACAAACTCTGCTATTTCTTTAGAAAAATTAAAGTGATATAAATGCTTAAGTAAATTTAAAAGAGATTTCGATCCTATTAATCTTAATTCATTATATTATTCTTTAAGTTTATCACTTATTTCCTAACCTTATTATTTAGCATATTTGTTTTTTAATTTTGCAAAATATCCCATAACTTTAACAAACTTTTCATAAAATTCATAAAGTTTGCATTCCATTTATATAACAGACCTTTCCTTTTTTTATTTATAAAAATATAATAATATTTTAATATTAATTCGCTACTTCTTTTGTAATTTATGTTGCCAATTTTTTTTATAAATCTTAATAATCAATTTTATACCTATTTTTATTTTTTAAAAAAATGTAATATATGTTCACCTAGAAAAAAAAAAAAAAGTTATTTACAATGGTGTTATGTCTTTGAATATTTGTACCAGTGAGTAAGCTGTTATTTTTACAATCAATATATTATCTTTTTCAAGCAAATGGAATAACGTTTACATATGTTAAATCTATATTTATATATTATTTTAATTTACAAATATATCTTAAAATATTTTTTGTTATAAACATTTTATTCTGGTTTAGCTATTATTTCTTAAGAAATTTATTCTACTAATTATGTGCATTAAACTAAGTTTAGTTCATTTAAATCCTTTTTTTGGATTACAGACTTCTAGTTTTTTAAAAGACTTTAAAAAAAACTATTTTAAATTGGTTCTTATTATAGTTAAGTATTTTTCTTTTTAAATTATTTATTTTTGATCATTTTTTATTTATATAATTTTAACTTTGAAATATTAAATTTATTTTTATATTGATAAGAAATTATTAGTTGTATGTAAATATATTAATTTAATAAAATATTTGTTACAAAATATGATTTTTTAAAATGATCAAATAATTTCAATACAAATATATTTTGTTAAAAATCTTTTATTTATAAAAAAATATATTTTCAGATTATATTTATTAAAAAAATTAATTAGGCTCTTCTCATAGGTTTATTTTCACATTTTTTTTTGTTAAAGATTAAAAAATTAAAATAATAAATATATATGAATATATATAAGTTGTAAACTTCTTATTAAATATGGAAATTAAAAATAATTAAATAATTGCAATTTATAAATTTAATTTTCATTATTTATTTTCTTTTAAAATGTATTATATATATAATGTTTTTAATTTTTTTATAAACAAAAAAATTAAATTTATTATTTTTAATTTATAAAAAAATACTTGTATAAATACTTTTAATTAACATATATATTTATATAATATTTATTTTCATTAAAAATATCTAAATGATATTTTTTATATAAATAAAATATAATTATATTTTATATTTTTTTCAAATAATTTTCCTGCATACAGGGCAATAAGTTTTTCGATAAAAAAGCCATTATTTGATACAAGTAAGATGAAATAAATGAATACATTCTAGTTTGCAAATTTACTCTTTTAAATTTTCAAATTAACAAAGACAAATACAACAACTTTAATTAACTATTTTAGTTGAATCTCTTAATAAAAAAAATATAATTTAACATATTAATAAATAAAGATTATAGTTTTTTAAATATATGTGCAAAACAAATCAATACCTATAAAAACAACATATAGCAATAAAAAGAAAAATCCAACAGCAAAGGTTAAAATTTAAAAATGAAAAGGCGTCATTAATATATAAGCAGGAAAACCTAGATAAATTAAAATATATAACTCTTGTTCAATAGCATATTCTGATTTTAATTATATAACATTATAAATTTATGTCGTTAATGCTAAAATTATAATAAATAATTTATATTTAATGTTTATTTTTTCAGTTGTACTTTCCAATACATTATAAAATTAAATTCCTGAATTTTTAGCATTTTGCTTTTTTTTTATAATTTCATGTTCAAATTTAAAAAAGTCTTTATATTATTTTTCATCAATATTTTTATTATTTTCAATTTATAAGCGAACTATTTTTTGCATCTTTTCGTTTAACTAATAATCGTCTTTTATTATTTTTATAAAAATAAACATGTATATTAAATTTTACAGCAACGAATATCTATAATAATTTAATTCATTACAATAACCTTATTAATAAAAAAAAATCCAATGCAAATAAAGATACAGGATAAAGAATGTATAAAATAAACATTTTCTACAATTATAATTATCTTATAATATTTCATAATTTATTCTTTTTCTTAAATAGTAGTTTATGTTTATATAATTTTTGTTTCTTTTTCTTATTATTATTAATTTTCCTAATTATTATCATATATTTAATAATTTCTTATGTTTTGTAGTTCTTATTATGTTTCAAAATTTGCTGTATTTGAGGAAGATATATAATTAATTTTTATTTGATTGTTTTACAATGGAATTAATTAGTTTTCTTTTTATTTTTCAAAATTATTGTTAAGATTTTACAATTGTATTTAACTTAAATTATATTGATTTTGAAAATTATCCATATTTATTATTTACAAATAAAAGAATTATTGTAATAAATATAATTTTAGTTTAATATGTTTTTTAAAAAATATTCTTTTATATATTATTGAAAAATTATAAAATAAATATATATAAAAAAATAATTATATATATATATATATATGTATTAATTTAATTTATATTAAATTAAAAACAATATATATTAAATAAATATTTAAATCAATCTTACAACATACTAAGAAGTTTTTATTAATCTTATATTTGAATAATACCAAATTTTTATTTTAATTTAATTGTTCCAGCTTTATTATATGTATCAAAGTTATTGTTATTTTAATCAGATTTATTATTTTTTGAAGTAAAATCATCTTTTTTAATAATACTATTTTTATAAGTCTAATCTATATTATACCCAAAAATTTTTTATTGATATATATCCTTTTTTTAATTAAATAAATTATATTTAGTAATTTTAAATTAACATTAACTATAATTATTATTATTATTAGTAATTATTTTCTTATTATCTTTAATTAATCTTTGATTTATTTTGTCAACAAGGGAATTATTATTTTACAAAATAGATATGTTGATATTATCTTTTATATCTTCGTTATTTTTTTACGTAAATTTAGATTAGTTTTATTCATATTATTAAGATTATTTTTTAGATATATTTCTTATGTTTAGATCTTCATTCAGTTTTTATTTGAATTCTTTTACTTTACCATTAGAGCCTTTGGAGGTAAAACCTTAATAAGGTTAAATATTATTAAATATTTATTAATTATTTTAAAACTATGTTTCTTATTGTGTTTATATATCCTTTATTTTTTGTTGTTCTTTTTAATCTTTTTAAATAATTTATTGATTATTTTAGGTTTATTTGGTATATATATATTCTTAATTTGTTTATTTAATTATTTATTATCCTTAACCAATTTAATATCTTTTTATTATATTTAATAATAATTAAAAATATAAAATTAATAATAATATTTTTCATTTAAATTATTTTTATAATTAATTATTATTACTAAACTTAATTGTATAAACTTTAAATATTATTTTCAGAATTAATTTTTTTAGGAATAATAATTTAACCATTATAATCATAAGTAATATTTTTATTGCTAAATTTTCCTTATATTATTTAATTTTATTTCTATTAAATTATAATAAAAATAAAATATTCTTTGATTTTTTTTTTAAAGTAACTTTGATTTCTGATATTTAGTTTTACTTTTATATTTTTTTTGATTAATCTGTTCTTATTGTATTTTTATTTTCCTTAAGTCATCTAAAGTTAAATTATTTTTATATTATTTATTAATATAAAAAATTTAACCTTCTATTAAATCGTAACTTTAATTAAAATATTCATTTAGAGGTATTGGAATCTATTTTTATTTATTTTTAAAAAGAATTAATTACTATTTTTTTTAAAAAAAAGTGTTACATTTTATAGTTATTAAAATTGTTCTTTTTTTGAGTTTTAATACTTAATTTATTATTTTTTTTAAAAAAAATATTTATAATTATTACCAATAAAATTATACCATTTCTTTCATGATTTATTTTTGTAAAAAAATAATTTAAATAATTAAAATAATAATTATAAAATAAATAAAATAATTTTTATTAAAAATAAATTATTATGTTTTGTAATTAATTATTAAATAATTTAAAATTAACAGTAAAATTAAAAAAAAATATATATATATATGTTTAAAAGTATTTTAATTAAATTACAAAATAAAGCTCTTAATCTTTTATTAAATATGCTTTTAAACTTAAAGTCTATTCAATAATAAATATATTAAATTAAAAAAATACATTATTTTATTAAATTATAATTAATAATTTTTAAAAAAAAATATATATATAAAAAAGTCTATCATTTCAAAAAACATAAAAATAAAAAAAAATATTTTAATTTACAAATATAAATTTGAAAATAGCATTACAAACCATAATTAATAATATTATAGTCAATCTTCAACTTCTTATTACTTTAGCTATTGTTAAAGACTTATTTATTCATTATTTTATGTTGTTTTTTTACGATATAATATATAATGCTATATTATAAAAATAATATCAAATAAAAAACTAATTAAAGAAAGAGCATATTTAACTACATTTAATGTTCCACCACTAATTGGATTTTTCCCTTACCCTATTGCATCAACCACATTTTGTAAAAACGAAAAAATAGCTCCAGTTGCATCCATTAGAATATTAAAAATACTCCAACCTTCTGTACATTTCCTTACATAATTCCAATAAACTTAAGGACAATATTTAAAGAAAGTAATACCTACTTTAAAATATCCTAAAAAGCTAACTAAACTAACTTTTCCATTTGCTTAAAACACAGTCTTTAAATTAATTTTTTTAATTAAAATATATAAATAAATATTATATATTTTTTTATTGATACTCCATTTAATGAACCATATGTTAATGCAAATGTCCATATTGATACAATTGAAAATATTGTTATGTTATTTACTTAATTATTTCCGCGCTTTATTAATAAAAAATAAGATATTTGAAGTTTTTTTTTTTTTACTGGATAAATAAATGTTTATAATAAAGTAACTATCGTCAAAATACATGCGTGATATGCAAATACTACATCTTGAATCGAAACATCACCTGTTCCACTTTTTTCAGGATTATCAGTAAAATAACCGACTGTTGTATATATAGAATAAAAAAGAAATCCTGTAAAATTTAAGATTACGAAATCTAATTTACAGCCTTATACACTTTTTTAACATAAAAATATTATAAATATATATAAATATCAACCTCTTCTTTTTATAATTGACATAAATTTATCCGTAAAAACTAAATGACCATGCAAACCAGTAAATCCAACCTATAATTTAGCTTATAATAGAAATGGTATTCATAAATATAATTATGATATTTACTAATAATCTTTTTTTTTATATTTTTTTTTATTATTTAATTTTATTTTTAATTTTTTTTTTTTAATTAAATAATTTTTTTTATTTGATTTAATAAAAGAAATTTTTATTTATATTTTTTATAGATTAATTAATATTATTTTTTAAAAATTAATTTATAAATTATTATGTATTAATCTAGTTTATATTTATTTTTATTCTAAAAGATAGTTCATTGTAAATAATCTAAAATCATTAAAATAAATTGTATCTATGCTATATATCTAATTTAATAATTAATTATAAAAAATATATTTACATATATAATTATTTCTTTTACTTATATATTTATTCGAAAGAAAAAAATTAAAATTAAATTTTTTAATATATAATTTAAACAAACAAAAATGAACAAATTAGACAATGCAAATCCAGCAATATTTTAAACAAAATAGAATCTTTCACAATTTTAACAAAAATTAAGGTAAAAATAAGAAGAGGATGATAATATTAATGATTAAATTGATGAACTTGAAATATTTGATATAATAAGACATATAGATGACCCTGAACATCCATTAACCCTTGAATAATTAAATGTATTAGAACTTGATAATATAAAAATAAATGGAAATAATATAAATGTATTTTTTACACCAACTGTACCACATTGCAGTTTAGCTTAAATGATAGGTTTAATGATAAAAGTTAAATTAATTCGATCACTCCCTAAATATTTTAAAATTGATGTATATATTACGCCAGGAGCTCACTCCTAAGAATATGCAGTAAATAAATAAATTAATGATAAAGAAAGAATTATGGCTGCTATTGAAAATCCAGCCATTTTAAGAGTTGTCAATAAGGGAGTAAAAAATTCAGATAGGCTAAGTTGTTGCTGATAATATTATATATATATTATTCGAATTTTAAATTTTATAATAAATATAATTATTTTATGTTATTGTATTCGAACACTAAAATAAAAAGCTTAAGTATTATTATGAAAATTTTATATATTTTTAGAATTTAAGTGTTATTAAAATTGTGTTTTTTATTAATTTATTTTTTAATGATTTTTAGATATACTTATATGCATATTGTTTTTTTATATTATTTCTACAATTTATTTTTAAAAATTCTATCCAAAAAAAAAAAGGACTAGAATAAATGGATAATTGTCTTTTGATTTTTGATAGAGATTTTGATAAAAAATACCAGTAAAAATTAAAAAAACAATATGAAAATATAAATAATACACAATTGTCTTTTTGATGTTTTTCTATTTTTACTTTAATTTTCTTTTAAAAACTCAAAAAAAGGCCCAAAAATATAGATAAAGCCTTATTTTTTTGATTAATTTTTTAAAAATAAAATACAGAAAAATAAATAATCATCTAAGAAAATAATATATATATATAAATATATATATATAATAATAATTTATCAATAACTATTTTTAACAATTTGTTTTTTTAATTCAGATAACCGTTCTGAAACTTTCTATCTTTAATTATCATAATCTTCTTAACTATTATTTGAAATTTAATTTATTTTTACTTTATTTTCAATTTTTCTTAAATATTTTCTTCGCCAATTTTTATCAATATCACTCAAATAAAAAGCACCAACTTCAATTTTATCTAAATTTACCTTTAAGTATATATATATATATTTTTTCTTCTATTTTTAAAATAAAATATACCTTAATATTTTATTACAAAAGTCCGTATTATTATTATCTTTCTTACATAATTCTATCAAACTCTTCTATTGGAACTTTAATCCTTTAAGCTAATCTTTGTTTCATATCCAATTTATTTTACATTTTTGAGTAGTCAGATTTAAAATTAAGCACGAAAAATGAAGAAGCTAAACCTGATCCATAAGAAAACATTAAAACTCTTTCTCCTTTTTAAATTTGGATATTTTCATTACCTAGAAGTGAGCAAAGTCCCGCATAAAGTGATCCAGTATAAATATTTCCTAATTGTTCTCCAAAAAAAAGACTTGGTTTTACTTTTTTATTCCAATCATTTAAAGCAAGCTTATTAATTAATTTTTAAACTTCATTACTGTCATATTCTTTTTCAAAAGTGTATTTCTTTCTTCTTCGGTTATATTAATTTAAGGATTATTTTAACTTAATACATCATTAAAATATAATCTACTAAATGCTTTTTGTACCATTTTAGCAAAAGGAGCATGAAAACATACATATTAAAAATCATTTAAAGAGAATTTTTTATTGAGCCTTTCTTTTAATTTCTCATTCATTTTTTTATAATTATTGTCTATTGCATTTAAATATGTTTTTATAGAAAGATGTCCATCAACTGTAGGAAATTCAGAAACTAAAAAAATTAAATTTTTTTATTTTGTTAAAAAAAAAAACTATAGTAAATTTAGTTACAAGCATCTGGCTTATAAAAATCATAAACATGATCAATAAATGTGCTTCTTATTTCTTCAACTTAAATAGGTGCATTAGGACCTATTAATATACAAATAGCTCCAGCTCCTCCTGTTGGTCTTGCCGGACCTTTTTTATATACAGCAATATCTACACAAACTACCAATCCATACTTTTTTCCATCGTAAGCACTTGATTCAACCCATGCTAAAGTATTGAATAAAGCTGCTGTTCCTCCATAACAAGCATTTATTGTAGTTACTCCTTCTATATCATGATTTCCATAAGACGAAAATAATTACATCAGAACTGTTTTTGTGGATTTTGATTTGTCTAACAAAGTTTCTGTTCCTACTTCTAAACGACCAATTTAAGTTGGACTTATGTTGTATTTTTCAAGAGTATTTTAAACAACTTTTTTTATATTTTATTATTAAAAGTAATAAAATATAATTATATATACCTGTTAATGCTAAAGAATTCACATCTTCGTAAGGCTCTACAAAAGCCATATTTTATTATCCTAAGCCTATTGTATATTTTCCTTCAGAAACTTTATCGAATTATTCTTTTTAATTTTTTTTTTTTTTGTATATTTAATTGATATATTTTTTTTTACCTAACTCTTATTGAGATATATATGTTTTTGGGAAATATATTTCTATTCCATGTATTCCAACGTTTTAAGGGCGCATTTTTTTATTTTTATAAATAAAAAATTTTATTTTTATCTTTTTTTGTATTTTACAATTATTTGTTAATTTTATTATTAATATTTTTTACAAATTTAATTTTTTAAGAAAATAAGAAAAATCTTTTTATTTAATATAAAGGGTTAAAATTATACACTTATTTTATTATTATTTAAATAAATGTAGCAATTATATATATTGATATAAATAATGGAAATTTTAATATATATACAAAACAAAAATATTATTAAACTTTAATTACTTTATTTGAAAATTAATTATTTGATATATGAAGAGATAATTAGTTTTAATATATAATGATTTAAAAATATATTATAAACTAATATTATAAATAATTTTAAATGGATAAAATATTATAATAAATTAAAAAACATGAATACAAAAAAATATTTTTTAATATGTCTAATATTTTTTAAAGTAGCATGTTTAATTATATTTAAATTTTAAACTAATAAAATTTATTTCCTCTTTAAGGAAAAAATTAATTTTTTAATGTTCGATTTAACTTATTATAGTTTTTGTTTATTTTTGCTAATTATACTTTCTTTAATAATTGATAAATGAAATCTATTTATATAATAATTTTAATTGATATTTTATCAAATTATTAAATTTAGATTAACTATTTAATGCATACTATTATTTGAAATTATTAAAATAAAAATATGAATTTTTAATTTATTATATAATATTCTTTCTTAATCATATTTAATTATAATAATCAATATTTATTAAGTTATTATTTTATTTATTTTATGATATAAAATTTGATTGAAAATATGTTTTTTTGATAAATAGCTTCTTGACTTTTTTTTGTTAGATAGCATTTATTATTATTATTATTAGATTTTTTTAAATATATTTAATTCTATTTGAGTTTTTATTCTAATTATTAAATCAGTCAATTTTTATTAAATTTAAATATATATCTTTCACAAATATTTAAAAAGGAAAATCTACTATGTGATTATTATAAGAGAATCTTATTTTATGTAAACACTTTATAAATTTGGTTATATTTTATATTTAAATTAATTTATAGATTCATTGTAGATTTAATACTATCATATTTATTATTTGAATTTGAATATATTTTTAATTAAATATTATTTTTTAATTTTGAATTGGATTTTAATATGTTAAATTTTTTTTTAGAATTATTTTATTTAAAATAAAAATTTTATATAGTTTATATATTTTCTTATAATTTTTAAATACTTACATATTTAATTTGTTTTTTCGTTATTTAATTATTGCATAATAATATATTTGCCTTAAAAATTAATATAAATAAAAATATTTATACTAATTTTTTAATTTTAAAATTAAATATTTTATTATATGATATTTATAGAATTACAATAAAAAATATATGAGTAATATTATATTTTACTAATTATTAAATTTATTTTTATTTACTAATTTTAAAATATTATATTAAATAAAAATTTTTATTTAGAAATTTTTACAAATTAGGTTACTATTATTTTTAATTAACATATAATTATATTTTTCTATGATTTAATAAATAAAAAATTAAATATATAAATATTATTAGACTATTAATTTAAAAAATTACAATATCAAATTAATTTTATTTATATTTTACTTAATTTTGAAGAATTAACTTCTATTATATTTTTAATTGTAAACATTGTTTTATTTTTTATTTATTCTATGTATATTATTAATTGTTTTGATGCTTTTTATTTCTTCTATAATTTTTTCTATAATAAACTTAATCAACAAAACAAAATTATTTATCTGTTTTTACTAGACTTTATTTTTTTAAATTGAATATTTTTAAAAAGAACAACTTTAAAACAATTAATATATTGTAAATTATAATATAAAATATAAATTAATATAAATAAAAATATTGTTTAATAAATTTTGAAATTTGCAAAGTATATATTTATAATTAAACTCAAAAAAAAATTAGTTATTATATTTTTATATATATTTATCAAAATTTTAAGTGTTTTAATAATTATTTTAATTAAATATTAATTATTTTTATTAATTTATTAATTTTTTATTTATAATATATTTCACGTTTTTAAAATATTTCTCTTTAGTATTGGAAATTTTTTATGTATTTCTTTAAAAAAACTCAATAGAAAATAAATAAATGAAACAATCTATATTTCTCTATTTTATTTTTTAATTATTGAATTTTTTAAAAAATTACATAAAAAATAAAGTTATTAAAAATTAATAAATATTTTTTAATATTTAATATATATTGAAAAAATTATAATTTTACTGAAACAATATTTATTAATATCAGAAAGATATAAATATATTTTAAAATAATACATTATATATTAATAAATATATTTGAATATTATAAATAACATTTTTACCAAGTTAATATAAAATATAATTAATATTAATTAAAATATATTTATAATTTTTCATTAAAAAATGAAAATTAGTTTGCCGTTTTTAATTTTTTTTTATATAATTTTTGTGTTATAATTTTTCTAATTAAATGTTATTTATTTATTTTCAAAATACATATACAAGAACCTATTCTTTTATAAATAATTATAAATATATTTATTAAATTTAAATATTGCTAAAGCTTTAAATAATATTGAAAATGAAGAAAAAAATTCAATATTCATATAAAACATCACTCGAATAATTTTAATTTAATTATATTTCTTATTAATGGCTTTATGTTTCTTCTTAATTTTTTTCAATTTCTAATATTCTTTAAATAATATCTTTCCATTATAAAACTAGATTTTGTTTTTCAGAAATAAAAGAAATATTTTATAAGCAATATTTTTAATCTTAATCCTAATAAAATTTTACTATTTCATATATTAATTGTAATCTTTATTCTTTTGTAAAATGTTAAAAATCATCTATTATAATCAGAATTGATTTTATCTAAATTTTAGTTGTTTACTCAAATAAGTTATTTATTATATTTTATATTTTATTGCTTCCTTCGATTTCATTTATTAATATATTATATTAAACTAAAAATGTAGATTCACGATTTTTTATACTTATAAGAGCATCTATTTATTACTATTAAAGAAAATGTTAAAATTTTCCTTCTATAACTTAAAAAAGTACTTAATTATAAAGCTTTTATTAAAAGCAAATTAGAAATTTTTATTTATTTTAAGGTTATTCACCATATCTACATTAAGAACAAATACCCATATTTTGTTTTATTTATTTATTTATTATTAAAACAATTTTTATTTTATTATATTTTTAAAAACATTAAAAAATATATTATAAATTTAAGGATTTAAAAATTGTAAAATAAATAATTATTAATTAATTATAAAAATTTAATATACTAATTTTTTATATATAAATTTATATAATAAATAATTATAAATGACAGAGAGATATTTGTTTTTGCTTGTGTATTCAAAAATATGAGAAATTAGAAAAAATCTAATATTTTTAATTTAATTTTTATATATAACAAAAATTAATATTACATTTCATCTGAAAGTTGGATAATTATCATTTATTTATTAATTATTTTCCCCAATATAAACTGTTTATATATAAGGTATTGTTTAAATAAATTATTATATATTATCATTATTAGTGTTATTAATATTATTATTATTTGTAATAATATTAGCGTTATTATTTATGTTATTTAAGTTATTTCTTTCTCTATTATCATTAAAATTGTGTATTTGTCTTTAATTTATACAATTTTTTTTTTTATCATTTTTAATTCTTTATATAAAATTATAAATAAATATTACGAAAAATGATATTAATATTAAACATAATAATATAATTAATCCATTTTTTTATTATTAGTCTATATTATCCTAACAAAATTCTTTAGTTCCGCATTAAAATTCTGTTATGCAACATCGATAATTACATTGTTAAGTACAATTAAATGATTAAGTTTTTTTATTTGTATTATTCATTGTTTTTTTCAAATTTTTTATTTTTGGAATTTTAATTATTTTATAAAAACATATTCATTTGAAAATATGTAATGTTAATTTTTATTAATTTATATTTATAATTTATTAAATAATATTTATTATTTAAAAAGACTTTTAATAAATAACTATAAAGATTTAAATAACTATTACTATATTTAATAAAATTCAAGCTTAACAAAAAAAAATATATAGAACTTTTGTAAAGAGAAGGATTCTTATTTATTTTTTAAAAAAAGTTTATTTATTATATAAATAAAAAATTTAAAATAAAAAATAAATAACAAGTCTTAATTATTTTATATTAATTTTTCTTTTAAAATATTAAAATCGAAAAAATATATTTAATATTTATATATTTAAAAATGGAATAATCATTATAGATATTATTTTGTATTTTTTAATTTAATATCTAAAATGATTTTTTTTTAAAAAAATTATAGTGAAGATTATATTAAAATATTTAATATTATTAAAATTAAATATGTTTATAATGTAAAGTTTTTTATTAACAATGTATATTTCTTATATATATTATAAATAAAATTTTATAAATATTATTTATAAAAAATTATAATTTTATTTATATTATTTTTTATTTTTATGATTATAAAAAAATCTTTTAATGGGAAATAAATAAAATATAAAATAAAGAAATTAAGTTTCTATTTAATCATCCAAAATTAATACCTCATTTTTTTAAATAAATATAATATAACCTTTAAATAATTAATAATAAATATAAACCTCGTAATTATAAGCTCAAAATTAAAATGTTTTATAAAAAGAATATATTTATAATTAAGAAATAAACATAATTGATAAATCTTTAAATAATTCTACATAATAATATTTATCTTCAAAGGAAAAAAAATTTAATAAGAATTGTTGTAAGCTATTGAGTTTTAAGAAAACTTTATCAATATAAGAACATTTTTCGAGGTATAAACATAATATTAATATTTATAAATATATATTTATAAAAGATTTAATGCCCTTTAAATATATAATGCCAATATTTAATAAATATAAGTTCAA